CTAGATGTACGGTAACTCTTACAGGAGTTTCTTCAATGACTTGTAGACATTAATGGCTGTAGGCAGGAAGGATCTCCTGTAGTAGTCCTTCTGGAGACGGTTCTGATGAAGACACTGTTGTTGATCAACAGTTTGATAAGGAGGAGGCTCAGGGTTGCTATAATGTTCCTCATATTAAGAATGAATATGCTGTACGGTTCTTTGTGTTGTTTCCAGAAACGCTGACAAGAATCTGGTGTCCAATTCTAACTTCTGCTGTTGTGCTAAAATTTGACCTGCAGACAATGTGATTAGATTACAGTATGTTGTCTTAACAACTACAATTGAAAACACAGTTATGTTCTAGCTTTCTTTTCATTATTCATTCGTTATTGCTTCCATAAGAAGCAGAAGCAAAGTCCGACTGTGTGAGAAATAAATAAAAGGTGAGTTTTACCATTATGTCAAAAACATAAAACCCTAGAAAAGGATTGAAAACAATTATAAAAGAATGACTCAAGACTTTTCCCCATTAGTCACAGAATTCCTGAGAAAATTACCATCAGAACACTAAATGGCGCACACACAAGCTGTAGATCAACCTTGGACCGTAGCTGATCCACAGGAGAATTGAATTACCTCCTCACTGTATCCCCATTGGCTGGGAGGTGTGGGATATGCTAATTAAGTGTTGGCAGATAAAACGCTTGCTGCGCCGCTGTGTCTTATTACTGCCAACTCCTGGGACTGCATCCAAAGCACCTTTAGTGTATGAGAAATAAGAGAGGACCTAAAGCTGTTCACTATAGGTGAACTGACTACATGCCGGTACAGCTGAATGTGACCTAATGGTTTCACATTATGTCAGGAAATTTAAAAAACTTTCTCCCACAATCAGCGTTCTCCATCTTCTGTTTCTAATTGATAATTAGTCTTCCGTTAATTCGGGGCTAACATCCATCTCTTATCACAAAGGTACAGTTTATCAGCAGCTTAAATGATGGACTAAATTGGGTTGGCAAAGTTAATGAGTCACCTTGCAGCGTATGGGGGGACGTAAGGGAAATGATTTCTCCTGACTCATATTAAATTAGCTTCAGTAGATGTGCTGGGCATACGTTGCAGCTTAAAGGGCAAATGTTAATGATTATTTTCCTTTAAAGGATGACGTAAGTCTTTAATAAAGTATAAAAAGTACTTTATTGAAAAAAGATATGCACATAAATATAAAATGCTGATAATACAGAAAGGTATGCAACATTATAGAATCGGATTTGCTTCAGTACGTTTTAGATACAAGCAGTGTAATAAAACTGTTATACTTCTAAGACAGAGAGGTTATTCAGTCGGTTCCTTCATGCATCTGGAGAACCAGCGCTACCAGAACCAAGAGGACACCCAAAGATAGTACCTTCAACTTGTGCAACACATTTTTCCAAGAGCCAAGCAGGAAGTCAAAAAAAAACATGTAGGAACTCTGGTTGCAATCACTGTACGTCTAACTTTTGGTATAAACTCAGTACAGCATGAACAGAGTTTTCAGCGCATCATGTTTTTACAGCAAATTGGAAAGATTACTCAAACTAAATCAGCTAAAATCCAAAACATGAAATACAACATAGAAATAAATTGCTTGTGATGAGTGACATATGTGTAAAACGTGAATTAGTATAAAAAGAAGAAGTGAAATACACTTTATTATCACATTAAATTCTACCGAAGTTCCTCAGGAAGATGATGAAACCTTCATATTTGCTTTTGCTGCTCATCTTTGAACAAAATGAGCTATTTTTAAAAAACATATAACAAAAGTTATTCACACTGGGTTCAAACACCATCTTCATTCAAACTTTCACACATTTCTAGATTTTTTTCTGACAGTTTTTGAAACATTGTGGACATCTGAATACGACACATTCAACGTAGGAGCTTTTAAGCAGTTTTATCTGTTCAGTGGATCATAAAGTAACGAGAAGCTGTAGTGGACTTTTAGTTTGGTTGTTTTATACCTTATTTTAGAATTGGGTCTTACTTAAAGCACATCCATTCATTAAGATGTTACAAAGAAAATTTACAAAAAGTTCAGAGTTTTCATCAGGTTTAGAGGCCAAACTTTTATTTATGGGTTCCAAGCCACAAACTGGAAAATTGAAACTACAAATGTGAAATAAGAAAAAATTGTGACTTTACACAAATCAATGAAAAACATGTAGAGAATTTTTTTCTTTCATCATTATTACATGGTTTTATGTTTAACCTCTTACCAATCTGGGAGTAATAAAAGCAAATTCACAACTACCACTTTTACAGATGTTTAAGACCCACAGAGGGAAAGTTTGATTCTCTAACCTGAAAGTTAAACCATAAATTTTAACTTGCAGAAAGTACTTCATTTTGGTTTTAAGAAACTGTAGTTGCTATCATCACTAAGCAATATTAAAAACTTATGGATTCCCTCTCAGAGTAAAAAAACATAATAAAAAATAAATTTGTTCATTCGGAAAATACTGATGAATTTTCTTTTGGATTTTCAGACTTTATTCTAAAATGTAAGAGCAAAAAAAATAAAATGTTTCCCCCAAAACTTTCACATTCAGACTCACTTCTGCGACAAGCCATTCTCAACATGTTTATAAAACCTTAAACATTTCACCTCATTCACTCTTTTTAAACATTCCAGGTCAAAACGCCTTTTTCACCATATCACAAACCAGTTTTGTACCCAGTTATCTCCTTACTCACCAGTAAACAGAATGTTTCTATTATTTGTCATTTTGGTTTCTTCATTGTGGGTACCACTTTCATATATGAATTATGAGAAAAATTATTTTCTGTAAATCATAAGTTTTTTTTTTTTTTTACCACAGGCTATCTTACCAGGGTTACCTTTGTTAGCACAACATAAGAGAAAATAAAACAACCGAAGTACAGAAAGCTGATTGAGTGAAATGTTCCCTAACCTCCTTCTATCTCTAATCTCTTCTATTTTTTACTCCTTCATTTTTTAACCGACCAATATCTCTAAACCTTCCTTTTCCTACTTACTTTCTGCCAACTTTCATTTGTCTTTCATTTATATTCATTCTAAATCCTACAGACCCTACATAAATTTATAAAAAATATAAATCTAATAATGTAAGAAACATTCTTTTTAATTATTCATAGTAAATTTCTCTGAACATTCGAATGAGATCCGTATCTCAGTCCCTGTAGGGGATTCTTTAACACATAACAAACAGTTAGTATTTATTGAAGTTAATACTGCTGAGTTCCAGTAGTGTGAAGCAAAACTATTTGACTTAACCGAGTAAATCAACAGTTTGGTTTAACTAAGAGACTGACTCTATCTATGCTATAAGAAGTACACTGATGGCGACACAATCAGATCAGAAACATGTCTGCAGTAAAAATCTGCTCTGTAAAACATTCACTCCTACAGACATGGATGCTGGATCTTAATGCAGCGGCTCCTGCAGAACACAGACGACCACAGGCTGGTATAAAATGAAATGAAAAGCAGTTTTAGCGCCAGACTGTAAATACAGGACCAGAGATACTGACAGTTAAAACCAGAGTTCATCATAGACTCCAGTAGGAGTCATTTTAAATAAAGTTTAAGTCCAGAATATCTAATGTAATCTGAGTTTGATTCAAATGTCAAACTTTAGATTTAGCCAATTATTACTATTTTATCTGATATAAAAATATTACAAAAGCTAATGCGGAGCCGGAGCCATCACGTTTCCCATTTGGATCTTATCTAATTCTGTGCTAGGAATGTAATTAAACTCATCTTGACTGACAGAAATATTATTGCTAAAGATGAAAGTGCAATGTTATTAAAGGCCTATCATTACTTTACTGTGATGTAACTTCAGGACTCAGAAAAAAATATCTAAGAGAGTACGGTAAGAAAAAGCTGAGTTTAAGGAAATAACTCACTGGTCAACAAAGCAAATCACTCATCTAAGAGCACCCAAACACACAAGAGTTTAAAAAATACTCCAGCCTCAATAGAAATCTTGAATACATTCATGAGAAACAATAAGTAAACCTTCAAAGGACTTAGAGGGAAACAGCACAGTGGTGATAATCATATTTACCTGCAGAACGTTTCTTGCTTTTTCTGAATCAATCTAGGAAATGCTATTCGTTTAAAAATAAAGTCCATATTTCTACAGTTAGAGGAAATATTTACTACTGGTAAACATTAGGGGAAGCTGCTAGTCCTCCTTTAATTACTTCCTTAAATGCTCATAGAAATTGTCATAAAAGCTCCAAAGTCTAATCTTATCATCTGTAAATGGACAAATGACTGACCAACACGGCATTGGAGGTGTGATGATATGGGCTTCCAGACCGCAACTGAATTAAAATGCTCTGTTGGGACCTTCAAAGATGAGCTTGAATAAATACCAGTAAAACTCAATGTACCGAGGGCATGTTGTAGAGAAAACTGGGCCAGAACGTCTCACAGAGGCAGATAAGGTCAGACAGAATATAACTACTGAGAGATGCTGCGTGCCTGAAGGAGATTCTACAAATGATGGATTTACTTAGTTTTTGCCACGACTGTATCGCCTGCTGGTATTAAGATCTAAAATAATTGTAAGCCGTATTTATGGAACAAACTGTATTAGCTTTAGTGATTTTTTAAAGAAATGACATATTTCTGAACCATTTTCTTCTATATTCTATAATTTTGCATCCTACTCACAGTTAATAAAATTCTTCCAGTCACATTGGAAAGAACGTAAGTGGTTTTATGCTCAAATCTTGTAACACAGAGGAGGATCTCTCTCTGTTAGTGGTCCTGTAATGTAGATAACATTTGTTGTCCTGTTTTTGTTTTCATCGCCAACCTTTAGAGTCACTTTAAGAAGCCCTGAAACCATCTGGACCAAAAAGTGTGCAAGTCTTTTTTTTTATCTTTGTGCCTTTGACTAACTCACAGCCTTAAACAACTGAATCAAATTGGTGGAAAAAAGATTAAAACGTGATTTCACAAAAGACAAAAAGCAAACAAACAAAAAAAGAAAAAAATATTCTTAGAGTGATTCAGAAAACTGTTAAAAGTCAAACAGGTATCTTTGTCTTTCACACAGACAGAATGACGCTGCTTGTTTGATTCATTTAGCATTAATAGTAGAAAAAGCTGCAACATGTTTGGTGAAGTCTGCATGTTTCAGATGGAGGACGTTGGGGTGACAGGAATCCTCCATCTGGAGCTGGTTTGATGCTGCTGTCCTCCTATATTCCCAGTATAGCCATACTGGTCGGTGCTTTGATCCATTTGGTGCCTGGAACCAACCAAATAGACTCTCAGTCAGGGTTACTGTTCTTAGGACAGTAGTAAGTTGGAAAGGTCTTTCTTTGCCGGATTTACCTGAAGCTGTCATCATCTGCGAATGGTCTCCTACCTGTAACCTCCACCCACAGTTCCACGCGCCATAGAGTCGTACCGTGGCGCCCGCAGTGGAGGGGTAGGAGATGGAGGCACGTCCTGCCGCAGGGGTCCTCTCTGCTGGGAGCTGAGAACAAAAATGGGTCAAACTTTGTAAAAAGAGATTGAAAGTAGACTAAAGGGCTGGCTATACTCCCTGCAGCAGTGTGTCGCAGTGAGCTTGACGCAGATATTTCCAATTTATGCCCAATATTGAAGCGTGGTCTTTAACTAGCTGTGGGTCTAGATACGGCCAAAGCGGTGAAGAAGTGGGGGCAAGTTTGTGCGACAACAGAGAGACAAAACATTAGGAAAAAGAGCGGGGATCCAGAAGCCTCCACAGAAGCCTTCCCAGATGGATACTGTGTAAAATTCAAACTGAACTACTCGAATCAGTCTGGCTTATGCCAGATTAGAATAATAGTACAAATCTGTGAAACCATACTTAGGGAAGCACTTTATTAAAGAGCTTTTACTGTACTGACAATACATTTCAAATATACAGAGTTAGAGACTTAAATTGATCTCTCTAGGAAACATAAAAGGCAACCTGTGGAGGGAGCTGAAGAGCATAAAAGGGAACGGAGGACTCTAGATAATCCATAGAGATTGTTCAAAGAAGAATGGTGAAATAGCCTCAATATGTCACCTCCAGTCTTTTGATTTTTTCCACCAGAACACTTCAGTCCTGTCCATTTAACCAAAGGTTTTCTTTTTAAAATCCATTTGGATTCCTCTTGATAAAGGGCTGACAAGAAAAGCTGCAGTGATGCTTTTTTTAAATTGGACACATATTTTTCTCCACTAGATAAACCACTAAGTAAAGGTTGGATTTTTCAAAACAGTTTCTGTGTGAAGTTGTGTTTTCACAATGAGAAGTTTATGTTTCACTCTTTCCATGGCTTATCTAGTGGTAACAATAAGAAAGGAAGGTGTTATATAAACAACTGCTGAAAGTGACAATGCTATCTGTATGAAGCCACCAAGTGCAGAACGTGAGGCAACATCTTTAAACAGACAAACCTAGGGTGAGGGTAGAAACCAGGTTCAATCCCTCGAGGGTCTCTCTGCTGTTGGTAAGGCGGCCCAGGCTGGAAGCTGGAGAATGATGGACCAGACTGGGAGTTGATGTTGGCATAAGTTGGCGACTGGTTAGCGTGGTACCCCTGCTGTGCTGGGGGAGGTCCTGGGTAATGACCCGACCATGGCTGCATTGGGTATTCAGCGGGATCCATCGGCCCTCGTCTACAAAAGAGAATAAGTGATTTTGTGATCATTAAGGGGTATTATTTATTCTTTTAATTGTTTTACACTCAACAAACATATAAATGCAACAGTTTTGATTTTGCTCCCATTTTGTATGACATAAACTCAAAGTTTTAAAACTTTTTCCACTTACACAATATCACAATTTCCCTCAAATACAGTTTACAAACCAGTCTAAATCTGTAATAGTGATCACTATTCCTTTGCTGAGATATTCCATCCCACCTCACAGATGTGCCATATCAAGATGCTCATTAGACACGATGATTAATGCACAGGTGTGCCAAGACTGCCCACAATAAAAGGCCACTAGTCTTAAATGTTCCTGCTTTTTAAAGGTCCTAGTTCCCTTTTATTCTGGTAATCTGTACCTGCCTTGCTTTAAATCACTTTTGCTCTCTTAATCCTAGCCAATGTTGTAATTTGTCAAACTTTTCTTACTTACCCTTTGGTATTTATCAGTCCCCACAGCTCTGACCTATTTCCCACTTTACCCACATTAAATATCCATCAGACTAACCTGATGTTCATCTGCCAATCTCTGCCACAATTCCTAATACCTCTGTGTTTTCCCAACACTGTTCCAGATCTATTTAATTGTTCTGTTACCTTTAAATATCCATCCATCTATAAATGTTTCTAATCATGTCAAATTATAGTGGAGGATCTTCGAAAACTTTTGAAAAACCCACCCTCGCCTATTAAAGACGTGCAAGAGCATGCAGGAGCCCTTGCTGTTATAACTCATACAAGCTTACTTTCAAAAAGAAGACTTTGTCCACTATGTCAGAATCACCACTGGTAAGTGAAAATGAGGACGGGCACATAGGACGGCCTTACGTAAACATATCACCAGAATGATTGACAATTAGGAGGACCAATTATTTTGATGATCCACCTGGAAAAAAGAACATCCCTCCACTATACCTTTAAAACCTCTGATGAAGATTTGAATAAAATAATTCTTAAACGATTCTGTATCAATGTTTAAACTGCTCCACACTGATATGTGCTAAAACAAGCTCTTTGTGTTTTAGTGAAATTCGTCTGTTTTGCTAATCAGTGGGATCTGATTCAGTGAACAGTTTACGAGATGGTAGTTGCATGAACACAGTTCAAAGAGAGTTTGTTCATTTACTTTGATTTTCAAATACTCCTATCCGACTGAAATCTAAATAAAGACGAGTTTATGAAAGGCAATCAGAGAAACACACAGGATTGACCTACATGACTCCACCACAAAGACGGCACACTAACTTGAACCCCCAACGCTCTCTGAAAAATCACCTGCAATAAAGCAAATAATCAACCTACTGCTGGCACCATGAATGCTGCGTTTGCTGTTTGTTTTTCACTTATGATGTACTTTTCATTGGATTTTTATATAAAAACAACAATCAGAAAATATTAATGGTGCTTGTGTTTTCGGCCTGCTGACTGGTAGGCTGAAATATTCATGAAAAGCTGCTGGAAGAGGTCTGCTCTGGACTGGGGAGGCGGGCAGCAGCCACCCTGACGAGCCAAGACCCCAGTGAAGCCAAAGATCACATAGCAACAGAATATAAGTGACATGTGACAGTTTTAAGTGGGGTAGAGCTCAGTTAACGCTTGCAAAGACACACATTCACACGCTCAGTGGCGGTCAACCAGTCTAGACTTGCAAATAGATATTAATGTCTCGTGCCCCGTGGAAAGCAAGTACACAAACATGTGCTCAGCACATAGCAAACATTATGAGGTATTAGATTTTATCTCCCCATCTTTCTGTCTCTTCCACTTAACTGCATTTCTCTCATTCTTGCTGGATCTGCTCATCAGTCTCATTTACTTCTTTTGAATTCAGCCACTACCGTCTCTGTGCTTGTTTTTCGGTGTAAATGATTAAAATACTCAAACTGTTTGGAGAAAACTTGAACTGTTTGTTCAAGTTTTAGCCAAAAATAATACCCCTAAGGTTTGGAGCTTTTTTTGAATCTTGGAAAAGTATTTATTCCCCTGAAGTCCAAATTTTGTCGCTTTTTTAACTCTTAAATGAATTGAAAGGTGTCATGTGCATTTGCCTTTAGTTTCCCTTACTTGGAAAGTCATTAAATTAGCCAAATATGCACATTGTGTCTAAAAAGACAAGCTACCCTAAAAGTCTGCAATTCTAACTCATACTCGCCACTGAGATGCTTTCACGGTGCGTTCTACTTGTAATCTAATTTCAAAATAATGTGTAGGATTGTTTTATTTTTTGTCCTTTTTATGGTTCCTATAATGGCCCTAGTAGGCGTTTATGCGCAATAGAGAACAGACATTTTCACAATCAGTAAACTGGAGCAAAGTAGCTTTAAAGGAATAGTACACCCAAAACATGATTAGCCTTCATTTTCTACTCACCCCCGCTGAATGCGCACTTTCATCTGGTTTGGTCTGCCGCGGTTTCCGTAGGCTCGTGAACTCGCAGGCGCGCGCTTTTAGGAAATCCTATACACTACTGTTTATGCTCTAAAAACATTCTAAATGACTTTGTTTCGAGTAAATTATGGACGCTACCCACTCAGGACACTTGGAATACATTGGACGAGCAGTATGGAGGAATATTGACACGTTTTTTGTGGACTTTTATGGACCTTTCTGTCTCGGGCACCATAGACCTCCATTATTTGAATGTCAGCAGACAGCAAGAAGCCTCCCAGATCTCCAGATGCATTTGAGATATCAAAAAAGTACTCCAGAGTGTTGTTCAGCATGGGGGTGAGTAGAAAATGAAGGCTAATCATGTTTTGGGTGTACTATTCCTTTAAGAGTCTATGTCACTCTAACTACCGGTACTATGTTCTGAGGTAAACTTAATGCAGAATTCTCCCAAAATGCAGGCTGTGATGTAGACATGTACTATAATGTAATGTTTTAACAGCAACACTTTACAATAAGGCACACAAAATTCAATTGACTAGTAGAGAACACCAAGAGAAATGATAAGATTCTAATACAAAGTGGGGAACACCCAGCCCAGCCTTACTGTGGGACTACTGATTTATTAACTGGGAAGAATGGAGTAAGTATTCTGGAACTGATGGGTAGTTAAACAGTACTTTTAAGAGGACAACTGGTTGTTTTTCACAAAATGAGAGCAGAAACTGTTTTGGTTCTGAATAAACATGTGAAGTCAAAAATTACGAAAAACTACTTTGAGATCCAAATTAATGCCCAGCTATTATTTTTGGACTTAGTTGAGTCAAGCATCAAGTAGTTACTGAGGACGTTTTAATTGCCCCTAATGTAAAGTAAAACATCATATCAAGTACTTACTGATTAATTATTTACAACTTGATCACTACCTGACTAATAACTAATGTTTTTGTGTACCTTTATGTAAAGTGAAACTACCCATTAGACCATCCTTAGTTTACTCTGTGCTTCACAGGTAACTAAGCAGTATGCCCATAATAAGGCAGCACTGGAAGTTCCCCAGTAAGTAATGGTTAACCACCCATTTGTTTTTGTTTAGTTCCCCAGGCGTTCTTTAGTTAATCAAGTTTTGTGTACCTACTTGTACAGCATTGCAGTTTTAACCTATAGCATTGTTCAAACGCTGTAGTCATGTTTTAATCTACTGAGGGCATTTATCTGCAAAAAAAAAAGATAATTTAGAGCTTAATTACTCTTTAAACATACAACTTATGTGGAGGGATTTAAATTCAAAGAACATTTGCAGGTTATAAGGGTCCTGCCAAAGTTCAGACATAGATCTAATTCAGAATGTGGCACGATGAGATTTAAAGAAATAATGTTTACAGACTCTATCCATCCAAACTGAAAGCGTTAGACCTATTTCGTGAAGAGAGATCAGCAAACAATTACCTAAATATCTCTGCCTAGCCGGTAAAAAGATATCCCAAAATATTGTAACGGATTTATAAAGTGGTGCTATACAGGATTAACTCAAAGGGATCTTTATGAAAGCACAGCAATTGTTCAAAATGTGCAACAGGAAAAATGTATGCCCAACTTTGGGGGTGGTCAATTACATTTATACCCCTCACCCTTAAAAAAAATAACAATTCAAAATGTGACAGAGGCTTTTCTTTTCAATGCATATCAAAGTCGAAGTCAATTACACAGAACGCTGTAACCGACCAGTTGGCTTTAGCCTGGAAATACAATGTTAATCTCTGCCTGAAGAAGACTAAATGAAACAGATTTGTACATAAGTACTTTTTGGAGGTCTCTATGCTGACGCCTGTGTGAGTCAATCTGGGTGGTCAGCTGGAGAAAGTGTCTAACCACATGCCCATCATGTTTCGGATGTCTTCTTCTGCCCCTCCTGGCTCCATATCCACTGTTAGCATACTTATGTGTCGATGAGCGCACGCACACACACCTTACACTTCTGCTGCTAAGTCAACTCATCTGTCAGCCCATCCGTCACCTGTCATCTGCTTTCTGGCTTATTCTGCTCTACTTATTGGAAGTCACTCAGGGTTAGCCCATCAGCTGAATGTCTCAAATTTCTCCTCTACAACAATCTGCAGCCATTTTGTCTGCTCTTCAGCAGCAAAGCCCACCAACTTGCAACTCTGTCAGTTCCCTTGTCTGCAAATGTGTCTGTCTAGTTCTCTGTCGTCATGTTTTCAGATTTCACTGTTAGCAAGATTGCCACTTCTCACGGATCAAAGATATACAGTCTATACCTTTGCTTAAGCTAGTAAATCAGTTTTTAAGTAAGCATTTTGCCCTCAGGCATGAATTTGGTCTTTGAGGGGTTGACAGATGTGATCAGTAAGTAAAGGAGATAAAAAAGGTGCAGATTAGGAGAAGTAAGGAGAAAAATAAGAGCAAAAAGAATGTGGATAGCAGTAGAAAATATTCACATTTCAAGAGATTTACAATTGAGTTATAAAACAAGTAGAGTTAATTATAGGTTGGCGTTATCTAATATATGTAACCATTACAGAATTAATTTAGCAAATTGCAGTAATTGTAGTTTTTTC